AAAAAAAAAAAAAAAAAAAAAAAAAAAAAAAAAAAAAAAAAAAAAAAAAATGCATTGATGAAGGATCGATGGCATATTGGTCAGATTCTCTACGCGGGCAAAAGACGTAGTCCGCTCGACCAACGTCGAGCATACCCCTCTAAGATATAAGATTATATTTAAGGTGTTAGAGCGAGGGGAGCTTGGGTTAAAGGTAAAGGTAGGGGGAGCTCTCCCTCCACTGCTAGCTTGGTCGGAGAGAGAGTAAAACCGTTGTGCGCATGCGCGAGAACTCTTGGTTATTAGAAACACTGCTCCTACTAGACAAGATGTCATACTTAAGTTGTGAAAAGTGGGCGGGGCTTAGGTTAAAGGTTTGAGTAGGGGGAATCTCCCGCTCCAGCTTGCTCTATAGAGAGAGGGTGATTGCGCACTGTGCATGCGGTGAACTCCCTAAAATCTGGGAGCCTTGATATACACAGTGCACATTTTAATACAAGGAATACAGTTGAGATGGCAATACTGGCGATAGTAGTATATAATTTATAATACAACATTTAAACTCAAAACAATACAATAAGTACTTAACAATAGCTTAAGCTTACATATGCCCGTTACTCGCAGTTTGGTATAATTTGTTTGTTCATTCTCTTTCCCCCCCCTTTTTTTAAGAATATAACTTATTACCTTTACTATTGTAACACACACACACACACGCACAAGCACGNTTCCTCTGTAATATGCTGTATTAAAAATTGTGGATAAAGGACCATTTTAGCGAGATATTTGAGATGGAAATAAATAAATAGTGTCCGGGAGGTCAGGAGGTCACGTGGGTAGCAGACGTACTTGTTCACCTAATCGCGCGAGTTTAAAAAAAGTTAAGATCCGTATTGCTTGAAGTTTGTATGTACCTAGCATTATTTTTATCGAATAAGAAGTATGGAATTAAATAAATATAAACTTTTTGTATATTTTAACGCTTCTAAATATTTTTATGTATTATTTTAACAATCCTGGAAAATATATATTTGCAATGACTACCTGGTATAACCTCTTGAGTGCCTTTTTTTTCTCATATTTTGTTACATACTTTTTTTTCATGAACTTGCCTTTCCTCCATCCTCTTGAGACTCTATGTGCGTGGTATTCTTTTTTTTTAGGTGGATTAGAAGGACCGTCATCCATTGTTTATCAATTAAATGATGTTAATGACATACAGATACTAAACACTATAGAGGTAGAGTAATAGCAGAAAGGCATGCAAACACGACGTATATATACCATATACCTATATATTACATCGCTATACTACATCAACACAAGTGGTGTACCACTGTACCCTGGTATGCACT